CGAACTGAGAGCATGCGCGCACGCGCATGCTCAGCCAGCCGCAGCAGAGGAATCTTTGAGCGAACTGAGAACATGCGCGCACGCGCATGTTCAGCCAGCCGCAGCAGAGGAATCTTTGAGCGAACTGAGAGCATGCGCGCACGCGCATGCTCAGCCAGCCGCAGCAGAGGAATCTTTGAGCGAACTGAGAACATGCGCGCACGCGCATGTTCAGCCAGCCGCAGCAGAGGAATCTTTGAGCGAACTGAGAACATGCGCGCACGCGCATGTTCAGCCAGCCGCAGCAGAGGAATCTTTGAGCGAACTGAGAGCATGCGCGCACGCGCATGCTCGGCCAGCCGCAGCAGAGGAATCTTTGAGCGAACTGAGAATATGAGCGCACGCTCATATTCAGCCAGACGCTGAAGCAAGGAATCTTTGAGCGTTTGAGGAAAGTGCGTGCCGCCACCAGAATCTTATTGCTTACTTGCTTTGCTGGGAGCTTACGATGAAGCCGGTAGACGTTGTGCTGCCATGATAGCGGTCGCATCTGGCCGGATGTAGGTGGAGAAGCCGAAGAGGACCAGCGCCCCAGCCGTTGCAGAGGAAGAGTGGGGGAGCCCCAGCGAGGTCGTGCGCGTGGCAGCGCCTATCCTGAAGGAGTGGGCTGTATAGAGCTGGGGAGACAAATTGCAGAGGAGCAGTAGGGATCTTAGCTGAGCTCTGAACCAGGTTGCTGTTATGGGAAGGTTGACTGGAGTGAGAATTAGAGGTCCGTTAAAATCTCCTTTTTGCCGCGGAGGCGAGTGTAACGCATCATGGACCTGTGGGGGCAGAGAGATGTGTCGAAGCGAGCTATTATTGTGTTGCAGGCGCCTCTGATCTTTGAATGTTTGAGATGAAGGTTGAATGGTCAGGGGACATTATGTTGGGTGAGAAGAGCGACCTTTGTTTAATGCTTCCACTACGTCGAGATGATCACGCATGACAGAGATCCTCTTTCTCTGCCACGTGTGATTCCGCAGCGCGCAGGCCACGACCACTGGGAATGTCTCGTGTAGGGCAGAGGAAATGCTCCGGGGAAAGTAGCGGGCCACGGCCGGCGAACCACTGGTCCTGGAAGAATCCCCCAAAAACCCACGGAAGGGGCAGCGTCCGTGTAGAAGCGGAGACCTGTAGGGGCAGAGAGACACACCGGAGAGGGCCATTGATGTTGCAGGCGCCTTTACGCTTAGAATCTTGGGTTGGAGAGTAGATAATTAGGCCAGTAGGATAGGACGGGAAGCCGTGTCTCGGACCGCATTGAAGGTTGAGTGAGCAGTGGTGAAACGCTTATGCAGAGAAGCCACAGAAGGCGAGCAGAAGATGCTGCGAGGAGGGCAGACATGTACTTGGAAGATGAGCCGGAGTTCAGCGCCGCTGCAGGATGGGCAGCATGATGGGGAGCCTGTGATCAGAAGAGTGAAGAACCAGGTATGGATGCCTTTGATTAGGAGTCCGATTGACGGCTCAGCGCAGCTACTTGGCCAGCTGCATCTGATAGAATCAGAAGATTCAGTAGAGAGATGAAGCACGACCGCCGAAGCGACCCTGGGAGCATAGGTGCGAGTCCGGCGCAGCGCGGCATACTCAGCCGGGCTGCATCCATTAGAAGCAGGATAAGCTTCTGAGAGAATGGGTTGCAGTAGCAGTAGCAGCAGCGGCAGCAGCAGTAACCTCAGATAATAACAGCAAAAGTCCTGTATCAAGCCGCGGCAGCAGCAGTAGCAGCAGCAGCGTCCTTAGAAAATAACAGTAATAATTCTGTATCAAAGCCACAGCAGTAGAATGTTGTTGTAGCTGTTCAGGGTTTCAGTAAAAGAGATGCGAAGTGAAGAGAGATGGCAAAGTAAATGAAGCAGCAGCAGCAGTAGTAGCAGCAGTAGCCGTATGAAGCAGCAGCAGCAGTAGCAGTATGAAGCAGCAGCAGCTGCAGCATCCGTCGATAATAGCAGCAATAATCCTGTATCAAAGCCAGAGCAGTAGAATATTGTTGTAGCCGTTTAGTGTTTCAGTAAAAAAGATGCGAAGTGAAGAGGGATGTCAAAGTACATGAAGCAGCAGCAGCAGCAGCGCAGCAGTAGCAGCAGCAGTAACGGTAGCAGTATGAAGCAGCAGAAGCAGCATTAGCAGTAGCAGCAGTAGCAGTATGAAGCAGCAGCGGTTGCAGCATCCGTAGATAATAACAGCCATAATCCTGTATCAAAGCCAGAGCAGTAGAATATTGTTGTAGCTGTTTAGTGTTTCAGTAAAAGAGATGCGAAGTGAAGAGAGATGTCAAGTACATGAAGCAGCAGCAGCACGGCAGCAGATGCAGTATGAAGCAGCAGCGGCAGCAGTAGCAGCAGTAACGGTAGCAGCATGAAGCAGCAGCAGCAGCAGCGGTTGCAGCATCCGTAGATAATAACAGCAATAATCCTGTATCAAGCCACCGCAGTAGAATAGAGTTGAAGCTGTTTAGTGTTTCAGTAAAAGAGATGCGCAGTGAAGAGAGGTGTCAAAGTAAAGAAGCAGCAGCAGCACGGCAGCAATGCAGTATGAAGCAGCAGCGGCAGCAATAGCAGCAGTAGCGGCAGCAGAAGCAGCAAGCAGCAGCAGCAACAATGCAATTCATACGAACAACAGACGTGTCACGCCAGCGTGCGCCGCTTGTCTCCGTGAGCCAGGTTACGTACGTGTCTGAAGAGCCGAGCCGTAGAGATAGGTGCAGCCTGGGAGCCTGCGGAGCGGCAGCGGCAGGAACAGCAGCAGCGGCACATGTAGTAGTAGGAGCAGTAGGAGCAGCAGGAGCAGGCAGCAGGGACAGGCAGCAGCAGGAATAGGCAGCAGCGGGATCAGGCATCAGTAGGAACGGCAGCAGGGACCGCAGCAGCGGCGGTCAGAGAACCATGCCCACGGTTGTTTAAGAGCCTGAGGAAATAAATCAACCCGAATCCGAAACATTCCCATGCGAGAAACAGATGTCCCCTGGAGCCAACTTGCTGCTTTGGTTATGGCAGATACGCATGAACGATCACTGATCCATGCGTTCATTAGCTCCAGCTCCACTTCAAACCCATTGCATATTCACATTGGGCCCCTTTTCTTTCTGCTGCACTTTCGAAATGCAACAACTGCAGTTTAGTTACCCAGTTTAATACTAGTGACCTAGCTATTTAAATGCATGGCCCCTCCTTCCTCCTGCAGATAGACGAATTTAAATACATCATTTAACAATAGTGACTTGCGAGTAATGAGATTGATGCTGTAAAGATGGCGCCGTGCAAGAGCTCTGTGTGTGCCGTCTGGAGCACGATGGGGTTGTCTTTGCACATTTTTTCCAACGTGGTTTTACTGCAAGTGGCAGAACATGAATCTGAATTAATGCACATTGCTCCTCTTATATCCCTCAGACATTGGAGATTGATGCCATTTAAGATGCATTGTCCCTCAGTTAGCTCAACACGTGTAAAACGGAGCCTGCAGACCAAGCACGGGCGAAGACTGACGCCTGCAGTCAAGTGCGTAGGGCAAAAAACCAGCCACCTGCAGCCTAGACTCCGGGATTAAACTGTCCGCGGTCGGCACTCTCACTGTACTCACATGCCAGGAGACTTGGGAAAGCAACGGGACAACGCGGCACCGCCAGTCGGAGGCAGGGACATGCACGGCAGCAGACCACGAGGAACGAGCAGCACAGAACCGCGGAGGGGCCCCGCGGAGCAGCCCGCAGAAAGAGCCCGCAGAGGAGGAGAGCGGCGGAGACACGCGAACCACAGCAGGTGCAGGGACGTGGAGGAGGAGCAGACCATGAGCAGCCAGACTGAGGACAGCCGGGCCACGCGCACGAGCAACACGTGAGCAGAAAGCGACCCCTCCAGAACAACGCATGCATTTGCGAACAGGAGCGTTAGCGACATGCACCTTGCAGGCTTCAGAAGCTTGCAGACTTCAGAAGATCGGGAAGTGGGCGTCTCCGGCTTTTAACTTGCTGTCCTGGTGGTTATTGGTTGACTGGGTGTGGGCGTTGCTGGTATTGATGAGTCGAGGAAGAGCAGCCTGTGGCCTGGCAGCAACAGCCGGGTCTACCACGGTGAACTTTCGCGAAAGCTCCATATGTACACACACACACATGTACACACACACACATGTACACACACACACACACATGTACACACACACACTCACAGACACACACATACACACAGATAGACACATATACACACACACGCACACACAAACACACATACACACTCAACACATACACACAGACATACACACACACATACACACTCACGCACACACACATACACACTCAACCACACACAAACACATACACACAGACACATTCACACACACACACTCAAACACACATACACACTCACACACAGACACTCAAACACACATGCACACTCACACATCCACACTAAACCACACAGACACACACCCATACACCCATACATACACACACACACACACACACACACACAGAGACACACACACACACACACACACACACACACACACACACACACACACACACACACACACACACACACACACACACACACACTCGCAGCAGCAGCAGTTACCGCAGAGGCTAATTGCCATTTCTCCACAGTTAATGGTATGTTTTTGATATTGTAATGATGCCGGATGAATTGGTTGTAAACACACACACACACACACACACACACACACACACACACACACACACACACACACGCGCAGGGGGGAGGCCATCTGGCTGAGTGCGGGCTGTAAAATGGGTATCCAGTAGCTTGAAATGAATTGAATTTTCCACCTTAACTTGGAGCGCGATTGAAGGTCTAATTGAATTTGGAGGCTGCAGTGTTCTGATGGAGCGGGCTAATTAAAGGGGAAGCGTACAAGCTGCAGTGTTCTGATGGAGCGGGCTAATTAAAGGGGAAGCGTACAAGCTTCAGTGTGACCAAGCATGAAATTGGACAGGTCAAACGGTAGGTGTTGTGTTTTTACTGTACATGATCCAGAGTGTAATGGAGTGGTTTAACAAGCTCAGTGTGAAAGACCTGCGCAGGGTTAAAGGCAGGGTCAGTAAAATAAGGCTGTACCTGGACTTATGTTGACGCTTATGGTGTGTATTTTTAATGTTTCTTATCAAGGTACTTTGCTATACTTCTGTTACTCCTACACAGCCATAGGAGCATCTTCAACCCTACGTTCTCTCTCAGTTTGGGAGATGGTTGTCAGACTGTCACTCAAGCTGCCCTGGTCCACGTTCTGTAGGTTAGGTCCTGGGTCTACAGCCTCAGTCCTCGTTCTACAGTCTGAGTCCTGGGTCTACAGCCTCAGTCCTCGTTCTACAGTCTGAGTCCTGGATCTACAGCCTCAGTCCTCGTTCTACAGTCTGAGTCCTGGATCTACAGCCTCAGTCCGTTTAGCTTGCTTTAGACAGCAAAGTGACAGCTGATCTATTCTCAATCCGAAAACTCCAACCTGGCTTTTGTTTGTAAAGTGTTTCACAAATACATTTTAAGGCTGCAGAGTTTTTACTTTTCTTTTTCTGTTTTTTACTGTTTTCTGGTTGATCTGTTGCCTACATGTTTATGGGAAAGCCTTTAAGCTGTTAAGGTCTGATCAGTCTCCAAAGTGTAGAAATAATTCCAGGACACAGATTTACCGACGGCAAAGGGCGACGGGTTCACTCATTGGCACAGTGATAATTAAATTCAACAAAACAAAAGTCAATTTCTTAAGGCGCTGGCAACAGAGGTCGGGACAAAGGCTTGAATAAGATCCTTCAGCCCAGACAAATTCTCACTGGAAGGCCTCAAACAAAGACACTGGCACAGGCCGACTCAAAAGCATTGGCTGCGGCTCAGAAGTCACCTTTCAAACACCACACAACCACATTCCTCGCTCTGCACTCCACAAAAACTGTTCCAGCTCATTGCTTCTTTAATGAAATATTCTATTGACAAGGGCTATTAAAACAAGCATTGCCAAACACACAAAAGAGAGCCAACTTCTGCACTCGTCTGTCACTGAATCTGCAAAATCAACACGAAACTTTGTCTTCGGCGAGGTGAGGATGTGAGCCATGTGGACACAAGTAAACACCTGGTGAAAACAAATGGAACCCGGAGCGCCACCTCGGCCGTAGAGCGCTAACAATGCATGCCTTCACAGCGTGCATGACAGGTGAGCCAAACACGGCCTCCAGCCCCGCCCGGCTCAGGATGGAACAGGTTAGGGAGGTGCTCGTCCATCATCGCTCGCCGTCGGGTCCGGGCCGTGACTTTTACCTTGTGACGGGAACTTGGCACGCAGCTGTTTGACTCACTCTGCCCATTGGACAAACTGTGATGAGTAATGTCAATATCAAGCACACATTCAGGATCCACATATGTAAAGTAGTTGGAGAAGATTGTTTGGACACCTGCAGAGCTCATCTCAGACGGTTGCTTTGTCGAAGGCAGGAGGAAGTACAAATGTGCAGGTTTGAAGGTGGAGTTTGTTAAAGGTGGATTTTGTTTGTCCCAACAGAGAGAATCTTGTTTAACCCTCCAGGACTTGACTTTTACGGCACTGTTTGAAAAGGACGATCGTGTCAGTCCAAATCCATTCTAACTCCTCCTACACAATGACACACTGTTTTACTTTGTTTAGCATATGACCAAATGTGAGTTCTGTGTGTGTGTTCATGACCTGTCAAGGCAGAAAAGAAATCATGAAAATCCACGATCGCCGCCGCCATATGAAGTCATGACATGCAAATAAATCTAAAATCCTACATAAACTTTGGGCCATTCTTAACATTTCTCTAATTTACATAAAGCTTTGATCTCTTCTCCTTTTTAAGTTATTAAGAAATTAAAATGTCAAAATTGAGCCTCTAAGGAAAAACTCTTCTCCTCCTTCTCCTTCTTCATCTTCTTCTTCTCCTCCTTCTCCTTCTTCTTCTACTTCTTCTCCTCCTTCTCCTTCTTCATCTTCTTCTTCTCCTTCTTCTCCTTCTTCATCTTCTTCTCCTCCTTATTCTTCTTCTCCTTCTTCTCCTTCTCCTCCTTCTCCTCCTCCTACTCCTCCTTCTCCTCCTTCTCCTCCTTCTCCTCCTCCTACTCCTCCTCCTTCTCCTCCTCCTCCTCCTCCTGCTCCTCCCCCTCCTCCTCCTTCTTCTCCTTCTCCTCCTCCTTCTCCTCCTCCATCTCCTCCTCCTTCTCCTCCTCCTCCTCCTGCTCCTCCCCCTCCTTCTCCTCCTTCTTCTCCTCCTCCTCCTCCTGCTCCTCCCCCTCCTCCTCCTCATCCTCCTCCTGCTCCTCCTCCTACTCCTCCTCCTCCTCCTCCTGCTCCTCCCCCTCCTCCTCCTCCTTCTTCTCCTTCTCCTCCTCCTTCTCCTCCTCCATCTCCTCCTCCTTCTCCTCCTCCTCCTCCTGCTCCTCCCCCTCCTCCTCCTCCTCCTCCTCCTCCTCCTCCTCCTCCTACTCCTCCTCCTCCTCCTCACCCTCCTCCTCCCCCTCCTCCTCCTCCTTCTCCTCCTCCTTCTCCTCCTCCATCTCCTCCTCCTTCTCCTCCTCCTGCTGCTCTTCCCCCTCCTTCTCCTCCTTCTTCTCCTCCTCCTCCTCCTGCTCCTCCTCCTACTCCTCCTCCTCCTCCTCCTCCTCCTCCTGCTCCTCCCCCTCCTCCTCCTTCTTCTCCTTCTCCTCCTCCTTCTCCTCCTCCATCTCCTCCTCCTTCTCCTCCTCCTCCTCCTGCTCCTCCTCCTCCTTCTCCTCCTTCTTCTCCTCCTCCTCCTCCTGCTCCTCCCCCTCCTCCTCCTCCTCCTCCTGCTCCTCCTCCTACTCCTCCTCCTTCTTCTCCTTCTCCTCCTCCTTCTCCTCCTCCATCTCCTCCTCCTTCTCCTCCTCCTCCTTCTTCTCCTCCTCCTCCTCCTCCCCCTCCTCCTTCTCCTCCTCCTCCTCCTCCTCCTCCTCCCCCTCCTTCTTGTAATTGCTCCATCCATCCATCCATCCATTTTCTTCCGCTTCATCCGTTGCCGGGTTGCGGGGGCAGCAGTCTAAGCAGAGACGCCCAGACTTCCCTATCCACACACACCTCCTCCAGCTCGTCCGGGGGGACCCCAAGGCGTTCCCAGGCCAGCTGAGAGACATAGTCCCTCCAGCGTGTCCTAGGTCTTCCGCGGGGCCTCCTCCCGGTGGGACGTGCCCGGAACACCTCCCCAGGGAGGCGTCCAGGAGGCATCCGGAACAGATGCCCGAGCCACCTCAACTGGTTCCTCTCGACGTGGAGAAGCAGCGGCTCTACTCCGAGCTCCTCCCGTGTGACCGAGCTCCTCACCCTATCTCTAAGGGAGCGCCCAGCCACTCTGCGGAGGAAGCTCATTTCGACCGCTTGTATCCGCGATCTCGTTCTTTCGGTCATTACCCAAAGCTCATGACCATAGGTGAGGGAGGGGACGAAGACTGACCGGTAAATCGAGAGCTTCGCCTTTCGGCTCAGCTCCCTCTTTACCACAACGGTCCGATACAGCTCTGACTGCAGACGCTGCTCCCTCTTTACCACAACGGTCCGATACAGCTCTGACTGCAGACGCTGCTCCCTCTTTACCACAACGGTCCGATACAACGACCGCATCACTGCGCACGCTGCACCGATCCGCCTGTCAATCTCACGCTCCATCCTCCCCTCACTCGTGAACAAGACCCCGAGATACTTGAACTCCTCCACTTGAGGAAGGACCTCTCCACCCGCCTGAAGAGGGCGGGTGAATGCTCCACTCATTTTAAACAGTAGTCTCTGTGGTTCTGCAGAAGGCGTTCACTTTAGTAACACTGACACACAGTCAACTCAGCACACGTTGCATACATAAAAAAATACTTCCTTTTCTTCTGGTTTTTCACAGAAATGTCCGACATGGGCAGAGGTGGTCACACTGTGGCTGCTTCCTCTTAAGGTGGTATGCCCGAGCTCCTCACAGCCGTTTCTGGTCTCCTGATGACTTGGCCATATTTCCCTCTGGCTCTTTTATAGTTGACGCTTGTCCAGAGCAGATGGTTTGTTATCTTTGAAGATTCCACTTGGACGACCGTGAGGAATCGTTCCAGGCCTCGAGCGTCCATCCAAACACCTACTTTATATGACCCTCCCGCCACAGGACAGCACCTGCTCTTACTGCACTGCCTTTGGATTTGAATCAGTATGTACTCACAAAAATAAAAACAAAAATGGAAATGTAAAAACTGGTTGGGGTAGACAGGCAGTAGTCAGTGGTTTTCATGTTATTGGTCGCAGCAAATAAATCCGAAGCTTTTGAATGTATTCTCTGAAAGCTCTTTACAGCATTAGTAAACGTTTGTACTTCAGGCTGTAGGAGGAAGCTCAACGAAAAGACGAAATAAAACGCAAAGCAAGACATTTGGCAAAAGACTAAACAAGATGTGCATCAGAGAACATTCATTCATTCACTTTCAACCCCCTTTATCAGTCCATTTCTGGGCCGGGGGGTGACGATGAGAGCTGCACCAGTCCCTCTGATCCTCTGCAGGGGGTGGGTCCACAGGAAGATGGCTGCTCCATCAGTGGTGACACAGTCTGGTGTTTCAGCGGGGGCTTCAGGCAATGTGGGGTTAAGTGTCTTGCTCAAGAACACAACGACAGCAGACACTAGTGGGAGCAGTTGGAGTAGGTCCCATGGTGGGCTCGAACCCACGACCTCCAGGCCCAAGGGACAACGCTGCATCAGAGAACATAAATATACATTGAAAAAACCTCTAAACTAATCCATCAGTTTTATATTGCTCTTTTTGGACACTCGAATATGCTTCACACAGCACTATTCTTTCACTTCATTTACTGTGGTGATAAGCTAATACCGTAGCCACAGCTGCCCTGGGGACGAACGACAGAAGAGACCACCAACCATTCACTCACACACACCAGATTCAAGGCAATGTGAGTGAAGTGTCTTGCCTAAGGACACGACCACAGTCTGGCACTTTACAGCCGCAGCCGCCCCACTGTAGCGATCCCAGAGGTCTCCCATCACAGTACTAACCAGGCCCCGCTCCGCTTAGCTTCAGCGATCTGGCTTTCACATGCAGGAGACACATAATGATTATAATAAACGGCTTCCACGGTGGTAAAAAAGAAAGAATAAAGTGTGAAAGAGAGTGTGGAATTCTGTCCAAAACGTCCAGATGCGTTTTTTAAAGACACGTAGGCAGTTCTCCCTCAGCTGTGCAAACACCAAGATGGCCGCTGTTAAAACCATGCACACACGTCTCATCTGGTGCAGTCGTTATCCTCTTAACAATGCACCCCCATGACAGGTCCAGAGCAGCACGGACACAGCAGCACCCGCCAGCACGCACAATACTATACCATACTATACCATACTATACCATACCATACAAAGAAGCACCCAAAAATATGATCCCAGAGTGTATCACATTATGAGTGACACCGACCCACTTCCTTACGTACGGGGATCAAATGATGGGCTTGTGGTACCAGCAGTATTTGTACAAAGTCGTCCAGAGCGGGTCAGGTTCAGATTAATCACATACAAAGTCATGTCAGAAGTCTTCTTAAAACAGAAAGCCAAATGTCCCGGTAACATCCAGGGATTATGTAAATACAGACCATGCTTTAGATTCACTTCCATGTTTTCTTGTTTAGTCCTAAATCAAAACAGTAGTGATCTCGGAGGACTTTAAAAAACTGCTGATTCGCCGAAACAGATCAGAGAAAAAAACTGTTCAAACACAAGAAAAAGAGCAGAAAACACGTTGGTATTGGTTCATAAAGGGCAGTGTTGATAAATGTCCATAAGTGTAGTCGTGTGTGGATAGCAAGAAGGTTCTGGGTTCTAATCCCGATCGGAACAGGGTCTTTTTGAGTGGAGTTTTCATGTTTTCCCCGTGCCTGAGTAGGTTTCCTCCGTGTGCTCCGGTTTCCCCTACCACTAAAACCCTGCTCACTAGGTTAAATCCTGCAGCTCTGGTCCTGACCAAGCCGAGCATCAACATCTGGAGATGGGTTCCCGGGCACTGTTACTACGGCGACCGCTGCTCCTGACGTAAGCCTTTGTGGTACCAGGATCTGGGTCAAATGCAGAGGATGAATTGTTGTACGGGGATTAATAACGTGCACATTTACCTTTACCTGGATCATCACCACTGTCATTTTAGAGTTAAAACTTTAGAATGTGCTTCTTCTTCTTTAAGTAATGTTTATGAGGAGTCGCCATATGATAAAGTCTCCAACGGGACCTTTTAGCTGCGGGCTGCGGGTCATGTGACGTGAGCTGCTGGTCATGTGACGTGAGCTGCGGGTCATGTGACGTGAGCTGCTGGTCATGTGACGTGAGCTGCGGGTCATGTGACGTGAGCTGCTGGTCATGTGACGTGAGCTGCGGGTCATGTGACGTGAGCTGCTGGTCATGTGACGTGAGCTGCGGGTCATGTGACTTTAGGATGACAGCTTCTCAATCACAGGTTGAAGCTTCGACAGAGTCTGATGTTTGTGCTGCTGCTGAGGGCCTCCCCCGGGGCCTCCCCCGGGGCCTCCTCCGGGCCCCTGTGCTCTCACTCACACATGATGCAATGTGAGACCTGCGCCGCTGCGCCGCTGCGTTGCTGCGTTGCCTGCGGTGCTGCCTGCAGAGCTGCAGGTGTGAATATCTCTGTCTCTGCTCCGTGATTAATGCATGAAATCTGGGACTTTTCCAAACGTGAAGCGTTCACAAAAGCAGTTTTACGGAACGCTGATAATCTGCTGATTTATCACAGATGTGAAAAAGAAACTGTCATCAACATGTGGTGCTGATTTTGTTCTGTCTTGATACAAATAGTAAATAGTTTTAAAACTTTAAAGAGGCATACAACTTTTCAAAATATTCTAAAACTGTTCACTTGAACATAGAGTGTTTCTATTGAAGCGATGCATCAGAAAACAATGTATTATTTAGACCATATAAGTTATAACGTCTTACATGGAACAAACCTGGCATTTGCCGTCGTAAACTCCTGTCAATGATCATGAAGTAGTACTGTGGTGTGGTAAGGCCAGGCTAGCATGGAGCTAATGCTGTGTTTGTTTCACACAGAACTGTTGCACTGCGCTGAAGGCAACAATCCCTTTACAAATGTTTCTTTATGTAGAAATCATTCTGTTTGTAAACCGTACATTTATGAATCAAAGAATGTGAAAAAGTTCCTGATATAATTAAAGGTTCACTGCAGCCTACAGCACTTTACAGCACATTACAGCACATTACAGCTCTTTACAGCACTTTACAGCACATTACAGCACATTACAGCTCTTTACAGCACTTTACAGCACTTTACAGCACATTACAGCACTTTACAGCCCTTTACAGCACATTATAGCTCTTTACAGCACTTTACAGCACTTTACAGCACATTAAAGCTCTTTACAGCACTTTACAGCACTTTACAGCTCTTTACAGCACATTACAGCACTTTACAGCTCTTTACAGCACTTTACAGCACTTTACAGTGAGTGAAGTAAAGTGCAGACAAAGCAGTCTCGGTGCCGTTTGATCAAACTGAAGATTCTGAAAGTGTCTTCTTTGGTGCTCAGAGTTTTAATGTTTGTTTCCCATGATCCTGTTTCTGCAGCACAAACAACTGGAGGAAAATGAACCTTTTCTATTAAAATAAGAAAACAGAAGACATTTGGTCTTGGTCCTGCGCCAGAATGAACTAATGAACCTGAAATAATCACAAACAAACATATTCTGTACATTCCATGACACAACAGTTTTCACCAAGAGTTTCAGAACTTTTCTTTACATGAGTATTTTTCCTGAATTGTTTTTATTTTTTAATGTTTTAATTGTTAAGCTTTATTATGGACACAAACAAGTTTAAAGATAAGTAACAAGACTAGCATCAAAGTCATGGTTTCTGTGGTTAAGTGATATTAACATTATTAACTATATTCATATTTGCTGACACCACTACTCATTTAAATCTGTTTTATCCTATTCTTTAAAAACACCAGAATCTGAGCTTTGTGTAATTTGTGTTCTGTCTTTTATCACTCTTTAAACCCGAAAAACCTGTTTTTTCATAAATATTACATTGTGTTTGTCCCAACAGAAGTCTTAAAAGTAAACTGTGAACAGATCAGACCACAACATGACGTCTACATCAGAAAACATGAGCCCTGTGCTTTAGGGTGAGAGAGAGGCCAAACATGTATGAATGTTAATTAATGATAGTGATATAACCAACCGTTTTAAGAATATGGACCTCACATAGTTTAATGGTTTTGTGGATTGAGAATTGGGAGTTTTTAATGTACCGTCACAAATTTCAAGACATTTGCAAAATTCCACATATTTTCTTCCAACTCTTCAGCCTGTAACTTTTCCATGCCTTCCGGTTGTGGTGACACTTCAAAGCTATTACGCTATTATGGCTTGTTATAATGTGATTACACAGCCTGATCGTGGTGATTGTTCCTTTAAGAAGCAGTGAGAGTGAGGGGAGGTGGTGCGGTTTCACACCCCGGGGTGGGAAACATGGGCGGGCCCTACAGCCGCTGAGTGACAGGCCCTCAAAGGCGATCCAACTTTGCGATGCCATAAAAATGAAAAAATCACAACCGACCAATCAGCAGGCGTCTTTTGGTGTCGCTCATTTTGTAGCAGCCAATCACAATCAAGCTGGGGGCGGGACTTCACTCCGCTGTTGTGCACCCAACGTGGGACTCCACAGAGCTCTCTCCGAGGAAAAAGGGAAAAGTAACAGCTAAGTCCAGAAAGGATAAAGGTGGTGAAGAGGAGGGAACAAATGTGTCTCGCTATGAATCGGATCGTCAACATTTAGTGCACACAGAGTAGACCTGATCTGTGCCGTGCCAGGCGGACGGACGCGCATCGGAAAGTTGGATCTAGCAGCAGTGAAGAAGAGCGTTGAGATTTCAGGCGATCCACGGACCTCTGAACTACTGTGATGTTTTGGAGAGCACTTTTTTGTGTGTGCCACAGATAACATTGACTAGTGGCTGTTTGGTGTGACCGTGGGGCTTTTAACCTTCAGCCCGGGACTGCGCGTAAACGTGGTGCCAAGTTTGCGGAGTTTCAGTGGCTGAGTCTAATTTAAGGATCTGTGTCCTTTCCACTGCACGTTCCACAACCTTTACAGCTGGACATTAAGATACCAGCCCAGATTGGGCGTTTTGGACTCAAACAAGCAGTTTTATTTTGTTTTTTAAGTTGTCTGTTGTGAAATCTTTCCTCACTCAATCACTCTTTGATCCTGAGCAGCGTCGCTTCAAAGTTGCATTGGAAAGTCGTCCCAAGTGACACTTTGAGATGGATTCTGTGATGTCACTAACTCACCCGTGTTTGCTGGAATATACAGGGTTATAACAGCGTCATTGATGCGTTATAAAGAGGACCCAGGCTGCAGAAGTCCCATTATCAGCCCGGTTTAAGAGCTCCGCGGCCGCGCTATTTAACTGGATACAAAATGGAGGCGACCCTGGGAAGATTTGGAATTGTTTCTCGTTTTATTTTGTTTGTGATTTTTATACCTGAACTGCTGATGAGTTATGGGTCTGGATCAGAACCGCTGTGTGCCCAGAACTGCACTTGCTCTGGAGACTCCGTGGACTGTAGCCGCCTGGGACTGACGGCCGTTCCCCTGGACCTGCCCGTGGGGACCGTGTCTCTGTGAGTATGCTGTCTGATATACATGGACTATAGAATAATATACTATACTATATACCACATGAGTACAGGAAGGTCTGTGCTCCTGGGTTTGCTTTAGTGTTTAAGATTCAGAGCTTTAACTATGCACAGAGTTGGGGCATTTCCAATAGTTTCCAACTTTATACAACTATATGATGTATAAAATAAAAGTTGTTTGTTGAATATCAAGACAATATCACTAGTTCATTTGGCCCTTTTTCTAAAGAACATTGAACTGCACATGTTGGAAACACACTTATTGGCTGTAACCAAACTCCAGTCTCATCCAGGGAAGTCCAGTGACAGCTCAGAGTGATTGACAGCTGCCTGAGTTGTGGCACACAGATGCTGGATGTGAGGTTTGTTCGTGAATGATGCACGTAGAGCTGGAGTGAACCAACAGTTCCTCAGGCTGTGTAAACAAACAGAGCCAGACTTGTATAAGACACAGTGCCCTTCTTTATGCGCTCACATTTATCGCCCTTTGTGTTGCAGAAATTACTGACAAATTGAGTTTAATAACATTATTCACAGGTTACGCAAGATTAGACTGACAACAGTTGAAACTCTGTCTGGTGATAGTTTCAGAAATGCGCTGATTCAGGTTCATGAAACATCTTCTTCTGGGAAACATTAGTAATAGGAATGATCTTTGTCATCGTGTGTCTGCAGCAGTATAAGGATAGAATCTGCATGTTTTCAGTTTGGTTATGGTGAATAAACTCAGAGTTCTATGGCTCCCAGGTTCCTGTTCCCAGAGGCCCCTGGTCTTGAGGAATGCAACTTTTAAAGTCCTTTAAAACATGAATAATGACACTTGTGCCCAGGCAGCCTCGCAGCTCTGAAGCACCTCTTAGCCCAGTGCTGTTGCTGTTCATCATGTCTGTATGGGACTGTCACTGCTGCAGCGGGCTGCACAGGGCTGCACTGGGCTGCACCGGGCTGCACAGGGCTGCACAGGGCTGCACAGGGCTGCACCGGGCTGCACCGGGCTGCACCGGGCTGCACCGGGCTGCACTGGGCTGCACCGGGCTGCACCGGGCTGCACCGGGCTGCACAGGGCTGCACAGGGCTGCACCGGGCTGCACAGGGCTGCACAGGGCTGCACAGGGCTGCACCGGGCTGCCCTGGGCTGCACAGGGCTGCACAGGGCTGCACAGGGCTGCACCGGGCTGCACCGGGCTGCACCGGGCTGCACCGGGCTGCACCGGGCTGCACCGGGCTGCACTGGGCTGCACTGGGCTGCCCACCTCACGCTGGCCTGTGAGGAAGTTGTTGAAAGCTAAAGTTGACATTATTTCTCGGGCAAACGTTATTAACGACAGCGTCAACAATGGTTTTATTGAAGATGCACCTTTATGAGTCTTATCTTCTTGAAACAAGTTGAATTGTTCGGCTTTACTGTGTTTGAGATAGCCTCAAGTTGGCGAGTAACTCAAAGGCGCCGACTCCAGATCCACTATAGATCTGACTTTGTGCCAGAATTCTGTATGATTGCTTTAAAGCCTTTAGTTTGGGCCATTTCTCTCTTGGCCATTTGTGATCTTATTAAATTGTACTTTGGGCTAATTCCGTCCGCTGTGATCGCTGCAGTTATGTCTCAGAGTTAGTGCTTATTGTGCATTTTGGGCAGAGACGACTGTATTTCAGTGCAATGCGGCGGTTCTACAAGTTACGCTTATACACTGCGTATTTTTAATATATTGGGCCCTAAACAAAA